GTCAACACCAGTTTCAGTGAAACAATTACATAACAGTCCTAAAATAGGATGTGACGTAGCCCCTCTAATTAGCTATCTATTCTTCAACATACAGGAACAATTTCGTGGTTCATCAGATCCATCACCGCAGTCCTGGTCCCCATCACAAAACCACCTACTTGGAATGCAGCGACCATTGTGACAAGGAAACTGGGATGACGAACAGTTGGCTGGTGGGGGTGATGTTGTTGGTGCTAAAACAAGAATAAACAAACAACTCAGAGTGAGTTTCATCTTGAGATTTCTCTCACATTTGGCAGATCAAATGACTGGCAAAGATACTAGACAAAAAATCCACTGTAGAATTTAACACGTTTTTGAAATACTAGTCTTGAAAGCTGGGTGCAGTACATTTCTAGTCATAAGCCCACTCAGGAATAAACACTACTTTTTTGTTACACTGAAAGCTTGACTTTTCTAAGACCAAAGAGTCAACAAGAAGTAATTAAGTTAACCTGTAAAAAGGAAACCATAGTAGACTGCCTAATAGTCTCTAGTTAGTAAAAACATTCCAGTTTTAAAGCACAACAATTACATTTTCTGCATATTCTCCTAGAGCAACTGAGAAAAGTTGCCAAATGCAATACAGAGAAACTACATAACACCAGAAAAAAGTATTTTTTTTCTTTGTAGCCAGAGGTTCCCACCTGGGGTGCATCCTTGTTCATCAGAGTTATCACGACAGTCATCGTCAAAATCACACACCCATCTTTGTGGAATACAGCGCCTGTTATTGCAAGTGAATTGATCTGACCTGCAAGTGGCATAAGCTGACCAAAGAATACAGTGAAAATATCATGTTACTACATTGATAATTTCAAATCAGTTTTGTCTTATAAATAAATGTATTGTTGCCTTGTGATGGCAACACTGCCAGAGAGACAGTGCCAAATTACAGTATGCTGGTTGAAAATGAACCACATTTTCTGTATTGTACACGTAGCTTAGACTGAGGTGATTGTGTGAGACCATTAACATTAACAATATAGAAACCTTCAGTTCCACCAACCGGACACAAAAACCTGGCCCCATCAACACAGTGGCCATATCATAATTATGGGGTAAGGAAAAATTAGGAGTGTGCAATCTTTGGTGCTGCTGCACAATATGATCACAATTACATTAACAAAGTGGTTGAAAGGCAGGCCAAGAGTCCCACTGAATTAAAGTCAGAATTCAATTCTTACAGCAGTTTTTCTCATCAGAATTGTCTTGACAGTCATCATCATGGTCACACTTCCACAATGCAGATATACAGCGACCATTGTCACATTTGAACTGCGTTGGGCCGCAAGTGCTGTAAGCTGGGACAAACATTAACAAGATGTTAACTGAAATGGTCAGCAAGGTCTAGTTTCATCTATTCCTTTCCTCCCTTTCCACTGAACATAAACAATCATTACTAACTAAAGATTTAATTTGATTTTTTAAACAGTTTTAACTATCATCAAAAAATACCGCCTTCAGCATCCCAGGGTTTTAATAGAAATCTGAGGCCCCATCCACACTACGCTGGAGAAATTTCCGTGAAAACACAACAATCAGCAGTTATTTTGGATTCTTTTGTGGTACAGTGGAACCCCGTTAATACGAACACCTTCGGGCCATGGAAAATTGGTTGTGTTAACAGGGTGGTCGTATTAAAGGGGTTCTTTGAATAAGAAAATGGCTGACTGAGCTTTTTTGGGGGCCAGAATAAAGTGGCCGTAATAACGAGGTGGTCGTATTAACGAGGTGTTCGTATTAACGGGGTGTTCGTATTAACGGGGTGTTCGTATTA